CATTGTTGTTTGGCGGGCCTGGGCTGGATTCGAACCCACCACCTTATGTGTATGTGGCTGGCACCTTAGCCACTTGAGCCACAGGCACCGAGCCAGAAGTCCTGGTTTTAATAAAACTCTCTCCAATTTTTCAAATGTCATGCAGCCCACATACAATGTATCCATGAGCAGGATCCAAGGTGTGGCCAGCCAGAGGCACTTCTGTCTCCCCACAAGAGATCCTGATGAGTGCTGCTCTCTGAGCAACTTCAGCACCCAGCACAGGGCCTGGCACGTGGCAGGAACTCAGTGTGTGTTGAGTGAATGAGGAAATGAATGACCAGATTATACAGAGCTTGGGAAGTGCCACATAGAGGTGTCTCCAGGAATCAACCTGTCTGCTCCTTTTAAAACCTCAGTCATATCATAACCCTCATTGGCTCAGAACTCTCTCCTGGCTCCCATCCCACTCAGAATACAAAGTCCTCATCACAGCCCACGAGGCCCTGCACATCTGGCCCTCACTTCTCTGCCTTGTTCCTGTTACTCACTTTCCTTCAGCTACACTGGCCTCTTTCTGATCCTTCAAAGTGCCAGGCAAATTCCTACCTCAGGGTCTTTACTGTTTTTTCTACCTGGGAGAGTCTTCCCTCAGATCTTTGCAAGGTCATTGCTCAAAAAATGTCACCTCCTTAGAGAGGCCTCCTCAGACCAGCTTGTGTGAGGCATCACCCCTGCCCTTTTCCATATCCTACTCTGCTTTATTATTATTTTTTATCATAGTACCCATCGCTACTTCACTTAATACATTGACTTCTTTCTCCCTCCTTTTCCTCTGCTCTTCTATTCTTTTTTTTTCTTCCTTTCTCACTTGTTGCCCTGACTGTATGTATGACTGTACCTGAATGTATGTATGACTACATTTCTGTTCCACCCTGTTCGCTCCCTTGTCCCCAAGGCTAGGCACAGCACCTCTGTTGAATTAATATACAAATGTCAAACCAGATATATGATTTCCTCTTGATGTCACTCAGAGGTCTTCTCTACAGAGAGAAAACCACATTACCACATTCCCTCACTTTCTCTGACCAAACCCTCCTTATTCTACAAGTGGGATTCCTTGGAGGGCCACAGCCCAATCTCCTTTGCATTTCCAAAGGAGATTTTCAAGTTTCCTGGGGTGAACACTCCACCACCACCACCACCCCGGTCCCCAGATAACTTTATTATTTTTCTCTCAGACTGAGTCAACTTGTAGTCTCTCTAAGCCACCTCTAGAGGATGGCATGTGCATAGATGCCATCTCTCCTGCCCTATGCTGGCCATGCCAACTCCCTGAACTCCCTGAACCTAATACCTAGTTTCTGAACCTCGAAGATGCCGGGGCCACACAGCCAGCATCTTCTATAATCCCTGACCAACATCCAGCTCTGGCTGTGCTCCATTCCTGGTTTCTATCCCAGGAGCCAGAGGGAGCTTTTAAAGCTATAAATCAGGGCCCAGCACCAGTGGCTCATACCTATAATCCTAGCACTCTGGGAGGCCAATTGCTTGAGGTCAGGAGTTCAAGACAAGTCTAACAAGAGTGAGACCCTTGGCTCGGCGCCTATAGCTCAACCGGCTAAGGCGCCAGCCACGTACACCTAAGGTGGCGGGTTCGAATCCCCAGCCCGGACCCGCCAAACAA